TTGGTTTGGTTACACTTTTCTGGTACATAACATTCTATATCTATTAAACGCTTAATGCTCTTAAGCGCCTCTGTAAATCAACCAAGGAATTAATGTTTCATAAACGCGTGATTTTGTATACCTCACGTAAAAAATATTATCTTAATGGTATTGCAATTTATATATAATATAATTTTTTTAAACAAGATAAATAAAGTGTTTTGTTATTCAGTGTAATTTCAATACGAATTTAAGAAGCAATTACATTACAGGTAAAAAATGAAATGGTTTGAAAAATGTGTTTTTATAACTTCAAAATATTACGAATGCATTGATAACTATAAACGTAATATTTTTTATAATAAATTATAATTGTATAATAGAAGGAGAAATTAAATCTTTAGAGAAGCACATTTATACAGTCAAGAAAAAATATTAATCAATAATGTTTTTATTGTATGTTAGTGATGATGCTCTTTCAGTTATCAATTTTCATGATATTTACACAACACATTGTTAATAATAATAACACTATTTTCTGGTGTTGATAACTTAAGAACAAAAAATATAACTTCATTCCGTTAATTTTATTCTCAGTGTACGAATACTTTCCCCTGCAGAGGCGCTCATTTGACTAAGCGACCAGGCTCAATTGTTTCCAGAAAAGTGTGTCCATATCGAAAACAGTCGGATCCGACTTATGTCGTATGTTACTTTTCCTACAAAGGTCGCTTTTGTTGACCTAACTGGAAATTAGCGTTAAATTATTAATATTCCTTTTTTCTCAGTGTAGAAGAAATACAAAATCCATCTTCATAAATAGCAATTTAAAACTTAATACCTAATAATATTATAAGTAATTTGACTAAAGAAATGAATAATTTTCTTATATGACACATTATAATATTCAAATTTTGTTTCTTGGAGAATATAGAAAGTGATAATAGGTAATGAACTTCTTGATAAACATCTTTCTTAGAATCAATTATTTTTAAAAATTTTTCAAGTGTAGTTTATAAATCAATTTTTTTATTTAAATAAATAAAATAAATCGCTATTTTTATTTTTAACAAAAAATTCAAATTTTGTATTTACTGAAATATTATCTTTACACTTTAAAATAATTAGTGGAGTGTAGACGAGGTTGGACCACTGTCAAAATAGGCCACTACTTTTTGTTATATTCCATTATTGGATAATTAAACGTGGTGTTTTTTATGACCTCAGTACAAAAAAATCTCAAAAAAACTTCTGTGCTTCATGTGAAAAACCATTAATAAAATATTTTAAAAAATCATGAAATCGTCAAGGCAAGCATGCAGAAGTATTTTTGGATTCTTGATAACAAAAAAAATAAAGTGAAAAATCGAGTCCGGAAACATATCTCGTTTTGGTTAGAACAATTCGACAATGATGCATTTTGTCAAGGTCAGATCACCATTTATAATACATGAATTTGACACATACTTTTTTAATAAATATACAAAAAAACTCTTTCCATGTTGTAATCAATAAAGGATACATTTCTCGCAACGCTATTAATGTTTTTTTATTTTTTAATGGTAATACCCTTTGAATTTTAAACATGGTCCGACCCTGACTGCAAGGGCCAACCTGGACTACAAAATTTTTTTTTGAAAACTTTATAACTTTTTCTTTTTAAAACCAATCAATTTACTTTGTACAGAACAAATATTCCTATTAAACAGGACTATCCAACAATATACTTCAATTGACCAAATTCATTTTTAAAAAAAGTTAGGGTGTTATAAACATAAGTCAAAAGGTGGTCCGACCTTGACTATACTCCCATATTATATAATACAAAGCTTAGCAATTGACATATATGTATAAAGTTTTAATTTCACCAATAATTCGAGAACAGTTTAAAAATTATATTTATATTATGGCAAATGTTTAACAAATTCTAAAATAAAACGCTAACAATTATAAGATTTTACTAAAAATATGGATTTACTAAATATTAAGTTATTTTAATGGGTTACACCACTTTGAAATTTTCAAGAAATTGAAATTTTTTTTGCTTAATTTACTCTTTATGGAAACCAAAAAGATATGTCATTAGTTATATATCAATATATGAAGTGAAAAGACAATTTTCAAACTGTTCAAGCAGGGTCCCGCGCTAACGTTTACGTTGTAATGAAAACTTTAAACGTGTTTTTCTCAAAACTGTATTTTAAAAATCGGTGGACACTAACTGACACAATTTTTTTAGATAGATAGATTTTAAACTGCAGAAATAAATGTTTTTTTATTTTTTGGTCTAGCTCAAATCTGGACCGAGTTATAGTGTCCACTGCACGGCCATACATTTTATAAGTACTCCGACAAATCATCTGCCAGACCGACATTTTTGAAAAAAAAAATTTTTTATATTTTTTGTAGTTTAACAGTAGTATAAATACCCTTCTATATTTTATATTAAAAAAAATTCTATTGTTAAGAAAATGATTGAAAATGCGTATTTTTTGATCGACAGATTCGTATAATTACGTCCACTTTTTGAAACAGTACCCTAAATTGTCACTTGACGCTTTTTCTGATTGACAAAAATCAGAAACTTCCTGTTTTACTGTACGTTTAATCAAAATGTAGCAGCGTTTTTGGTTGAACAAAAAAATATACATTGTTTTTTTATATTCAAGCACAAAACAAGGGTAATACATAATTATAGGAAAATGGTTGCTGAACACAATTATACACTTGCCAACGTAATTTTTGAATCTCTTACAATTCTCGACTAAATAGCATAGTAGACCGACGTAAGACTACTCTGGAGTACCAATATATTACATAAAACTTTATTTTTTAAAATATTTTTATTTTTAAAATTAATTCAAGGGGAGAAACCACATTAGACGTCTGAAAAATTGATTTTTTCTTTTTTGCATAAATTGTTAGTTAAGGAATTAAAAAATAGGCTGAAATAGTTTTTAGAGTAAAATTCGACGTCCTTGCTGTATTGGTGATGAACGGAATAGCCGATTAAAGTGTAATCACTTTAAAAAAAATTTTGTTCTAAGTATCAATTTTTTGATACTTTTTTTTCTAATGCGTTTTTCTCAAAACATGATTTTTGAAATTGCCGTGCAGTGTAGCTCAAAAAGTTATTGATCGATTTTAAAATGAAAAATTGGAAATTGTTCGTTATTAAATGTATTATTAAGGAAACTCAACAATATGGTGGAAATGTTTTATTTCATTCAAAAAAATTCTTACCTTAAAAAAATTCGCGAAAAACGACTAAAACACAGTGTTCTAATGTGGTTTGCCCCCTTAAAAAACTTAAAATTCTTAAGTAAAGTTAATGTTTTGAGGATATGTTACGGGCCGGTAAAGTTCCAATGGTTTTAATTTACTTTTATAGTTGTATGATAAAAAATTGAGACAAAAATGTATAAAAACGATGCACTAGAATCTTCATTACTTATTATGAAATATCATTTTTTAAAAATATTTAATTTGTCTCATGTATAAAATAGCCCCCAAAATATTATCGCAATGAAATTGACAACACATACTTTGCACAGTTTAAGACACACTTTTAAAATCTAAGACATTTGGTATAATTTTTACGAGCTTTGCAAATCACCAACACAAATGTTTCGTTTTTAATTTTATGAATTTTTTCTGTTCATAACTTGCAAAGAATTTAAAAATAACAATTTGAGCTCTCTGTTTTCCTGTCATTGAACACTGTTTGCAAAAAAAATTAAACGCAAACCATTTAATTATAGATTTTATTTCAAATTTAATCCAATTATTTTCCAAATTTTCAATTAGTTTCAGTTCAGTTTTTCGAGTATTTAAACAACTTTTAAAGATTTAAGTACAATTTTTAAAAATTAAATTTTTTAAAACTCATAATTTATGTTAAAATAATATTAAAGTACTTATTGTGGTTTTTTACACAAGAAATAAAATTTTAAATAACTTCACTGTACAATCTTGTAAAATTTAGTTATTTCTAAATAGTAAATCAGCAGTTCTTCCAAAATTCAATTACTTTTCAGAATTTTTAATTAAAAATATCTTTATACTTTTACATCAAGTTTTTAAACATTTCTATTTACAAAACATTATTAATATTATTATTTATAAAAATTCCTACTATAAATCTTCTAATAATCAATCATTTTTTTTAATTTTAACAGAAATTCGATTTAAAACAATTCTTATCAGATAGTTCTAATAAAGTAGTTTAAATGAAATTCTCTTATTAAAAATAATTTTACAGAAATCAAAGGAAATTTAAATCTCCTAAAATTTGATTAGAGTAAATAAATTTGTATTAAGAAAGTTAAATTTTATTAACAATATTTGTATGTAATAATGAAACAAGATAATAGGTTATTCATAAATTTATAATTATTTTGAAGATAATAAGTATTAATTTTTTGTTTCAAATCTAGAAAAAAAGTATCCAAATAATATGAAATTATAAAAAAGTAATAAAGAGTAGGTTTTAGTAAATAAATGAGAATCCTGATGTTTAATAAACTAAATATTATTATTAATAATAATAATAATAATAAATTTAATAAAATAGAGACAAAAAAAAATTCCATTACAGGAAGCGCTCATTAAAAAAGGATATTTAATATAATTATGTAATTATATAAGTAGTAATATAAATTTTATCAATAAACATATTTTACTCTTGAAGTTTGAAGAATATTCATTTAATAAACACAAAATATTTATACTACATATATATACATTATATGTAAAAATGCAATCAATTAATCAAGGAGTATCAAAAAATTAATATAAAACAAAATAACAAATAAGCATATTTGCTTAAATTGAATCTGTCAAATAAATTTATCACAAGCTAATAAATTTTTTATTTAAATTTTGAAAATAAAGTAAAAATATTTTTTTTTAATATGGAGGTTTTTCATGAAAAAAGAAAATGTCATAAAACAAATTTGAAGGATAAATTGTATTATTTCACGAATTAAATTTAATAATCTATAAAACAGGAAAATACATACCTGGCAGTAAGCAATTTGCTTCCTTTCGATGTTTTGTAGATTTAATAAACACACAAAATTAAACTAAATTAAAAGAAGGAACTACAGGAACGTTTTCCAGCTTAAATGACAAAAGCGACAAAAGCGTCACTTTTTCATTTGTTTTTACTTCTCCTGCTACCGCTACACAAGATAGAAATTGTCTTTTTTTCTTCTCTTTTGTCTTTATTTTGTGGCTTCGAAAATTATAAAAATCGAATATTATATAGTCAAATACATTTTTTCCTTCTTATAATTCTTAAATAACTGGTCAACTGTTCTATCACATGGTTAGTTCCACAAGTGGAATAGGGTGTTCACATTCACTTTCTGTACGTTCTAAAAGTACGAAACATGGTTGGTTGGATTAGAGGAATTGTGAATTATGATTGGCTAAAACTCTAAATTGACATTTCGTGCTGTTTTCACGAGATAGACGGAGATAGACAGAGCGTGAAAACAAAGCACGAGACTGTAAATTTAGAGTAGCCAATAAAAATTTGCAATTCCCCTAATTCAACCAACCACGTTTCGGATTTTCAGAGCGCTCAGAGAGCAAATGTCGGAAGCACCCCCAGTCACAACACAGACTTTTAAGGCCTTTCTCCAATACGATCCTAAGGCTGTGTCTACATGCTTGCGTTTTAACGCACGTTTTTTCGTTTTCATATACTTCTATCCTTCTTACACTCTTTGCTCAACGCAAACCCAACGATAGGGCTCAAGAATTTAAGTCGGTTCCACACTTGATGTCGGCGTTGTAACCGAGGCATTGATAAGGTTACAGCTTTCACTTTCAAATATTTACGCTTGTAACATGGCCTAGTTAAAAAACGCAACGTAAAAATAAGCTGCCATGCAAAGATGTGTACTTAACAGAGATGGGTAAAAGTTATTTTCTGGAGGTTTTCTACGTGTAATAGGTACATAAATTATTGTAACCAAGACAATCGCAACATAACCTCTTTTTGTAATTTACTTTCTGGTCTATTGTTAGTAAATAATTAGAAATTAAGAAATAAACTATTTTAATATTATTAAATAATTGAGAATTTTCAGTCGAGCTAGTAGTAGTAGAAATTTTATTAAAGAATAGATAATTAATTTTTGCCAATTTCAGATTTAATATTTAAAAATTATTATAAATTTATCATTCAGTGATATAGATCTTCACAAATTTTAGTTAGTTAAAATACTAATCATTCTACAATAAACAATGTCTGATTATTTGTTATTAACATAATAACAAATAACAAGTTATATGTTACAAGTTTGCGTTGCGTTTTTAACTAGTCAATAAGTGCAAATAGAGTAAACTTATATCGGTATCTCTCTCACACTCATGGTCTAGTTACAAAACGCAACGCACAACGCTGTCATGGGACTCCAGCCTTAAGCTGCTTCTACAACAACTTTTTTTTCATCGACATGAGCGTGAAAACGATGCGCGCGCAACTTTTTTGCATGGTTTTAACAGTGCATCTTGTTCGTGTCGATGAAAAAAAGTTGTTGTAGAAGCAGCCTTAGGCTGAAGTCCCATGTCAGCGTTTTGCGTTGCGTTTTGTAACTAGGCAATGAGTGTGAGAGAGATACAGATATAGGTTTGTTCTATTTGCACTCATTGCCTAGTTACAAAAAGCAACGCAAAACGCTGCCATGTGACTCCACCCTTATATATTATCTTACCATGACAACCAGCAGACAGACGAACTGAGAGCGTACCTTTAAGGAGAGTCCAGAATAGAGTCGAACGCGCTGATAGTAACGCGCTCGTCCATATGGAATACATAGGAGGAGCGCGTTAGTATCAGCGCGTTCATACCGACTTCGACTCTATTCTGGACTCTCCTTCAGGAATCAACATTGAAGGAGAGTCCAGAATAGAGTCGACGTCGGTATGAACGCGTTACTCTCCTTCATGTAAATGCACCCTTAAGGCCTTTCTCCAATAAGGCCTTTCTCCAATAGGTTTCAAAAAGTGTGCGTTGCGTTGATTTTAGCATGTGTTGCTATAGCAACCGACGCAGACGCAGTCCTTCGCACACTTTTTAAAACCTATTGGAGAAAGGCCTATAGGAACCCAAAACTTTGCGTTTGTCTGCGAATGACTGCGTTGCGTTGATTTTAGCATATGTTGCCATAGCAACCGACGCAACGCAGAGTTTTGGGAACCTATTGAGGCCTTTCTCCAATAGGTTACCACAAGTGTGCAAATGACTGCGTTGCGTTGATTTTAGCATGTGTTGCTATAGCAACCGACGCAGACGCAGTCCTTCGCACACTTTTTAAAACCTATTGGAGAAAGGCCTTTACGCCAACACTGGACGGCATCTTTAGATCATGATGAATCGTCTGCTTTTGTGTTGCCAGTCTAGTCATCTTCTTGTTGACATAAAATTTCAAATAATGTTATACTTTATTTTATTCACATCAAATGCAAAAGAAAATTTAGAAAAATTTTAAAAATTTAAAAAGTCTTAGAAATCTTATAAATATTAATATACTTGAATTAATGATACATTTTCCGGCATGATATTTCTTATATCATTATGACTCTATTTTGAGGTTATCAGCGTTTTGTAAGAACATCAAGTTTTGAGCACTGATTTTTTATAAATCGTATTTATAATAATTTCTTGTTTCTTTTAGTTGTTATGTACTTATTATATAACTGAAGTGATTAAATACAGCTAGAATTCTGTTGTCTTTTTGTAAATAGAAAACGTCTGTCCAAAATATGTAAATTCATTTTTTGAGAAGAATATTCAATTTATTTAGTTTTTAATTTATGTATAATTTTATCCTACTATAAAATTGCACATTTTAAGCTAAAAAACGTCATTTTATCTCTATTTGTTTAAAAGATAGCATTAAGCTGAATAAAGCTGTGTAAACAATAAATTAATTATTATTTTTTAATTTCAAAAACAAAAATTAATTGTACACACCTTAACCCTCTGCCTACGCCGACTTATCCCCACTCTAGCGCTTTTGAATGTATTTCCCATAGTCCCCACCAGGCGACCGAATTGTCGTTTTTTGTCGATAACGGTCACTTGAGTAGGCAGAGGGTTAAAGAATATCTGTGAATTTTTAAAATTTTTTCTACTAGCAGTTTCGCTTGGGGAACAGGTGAAAGTATAGACTTGAAAAAAGGGCTGAAAAACTGTGTTTTTTGGCACATTTTGTGTCATAGCTACTGCAAAAAATTTTTTGTGGTCATTCAACATACGCCTGCCCCGACATTTGAAGCACGAGCGAAGCGAGTGCTTCTGGTCGGGGGCAGGCACGAAAAAAATGTGAAAGATAAATTTATTGATTTATTTATACCTAATAATACACGGGCAACGAAATAAATTAATATTATATTCTCAAAAGAATTTTTTTGTTCGTACAAAATTAATTTTATATTTCGGAAATTTTAAACGTTCTAAGAAACAAAATGTCGTTATTTCTTTAAATTATTAAAACTTTATTATAATATTCTGGCACGTATAAAATATTATATTGTGCATCTATAGGGAGGAAAATAGAAGATTTCCACAAGTGGAAATCATTTTCCTCCCGTGGTGCACATACTATTTTTTCTAACACACGTAAACGGAAAGTACAATTACTTCATAAAAAATTTTAACGACAATAGTGTTTTCAACCCAAAGTTTATTATAATAATAGTATAATTTTTTAAATTGATTAATTATTAGAAATTAACAATTTTAACAATAACAATAAACAACAATTTAACAAATTAAAAAACAAATTTTAATAATTTAACAATTAAAACAGTTTTAAACAAAAAAAACAATTTAACAATTTTAACAATTTTCAATGAAACATATATTTAGTCGTAAATAAAGATACATTTTATCTTTACATTGTTATCAAAATATATTACACTCGACTCTCGGATCTTTTGCACTTACGGGACCAAATCCTCTCATACCTTTTACCAAAACAAATGCCATGGTAACGCAAAACAAAATAATATGTATAACCAAATATGTAAATTAATGACAGTATTTATGTTTTAGTTTCAATATTTACATTTATAATAATTACAACTTTAATATAATTTTAATCACATAATGGAGGAGCTGTTCTAATTTACTATAGATAACCAAAGTTATCGCGAAATAAATGTTTTGACAATTTTATAGTCATTTATTTATTTAATACAAAAGGTAAAAGGTGCGGGAGAAAAATTGCAAAAGAAGCGAGAGTGTAAAAGAACTAAATGCAAAAAATCCGAGAGTCGAGTGTACATGTGATTTTGGACGACAGGGAGGTAAAGTACTTTTTTCTAACACACGCACGGAAAGTACATCATTTCTTACCTGTGTAGAGGGTGGAAAGTATGTCTTTTCCGACGAGAGGGAGGGAATGTTACTTTACCTCCCTCTGACGTCATAACGGGGACAGAAAAGTATACTTTACCTCCCCGTGACGTCATAGCGGGGAGAGAAAAGTACTTTACCTCCCTGTCGTCACGGGGAGGTAAAGTATACTTTTCTCTCCCCGTTATGACGTCAGAGGGAGGTAAAGTAACATTCCCTCCCTCTCGTCGGAAAAGACATACTTTCCACCCTCTACACAGTTAAGAAATGATGTACTTTCCGTGCGTGTGTTAGAAAAAATAAATTATAAAATCTTCTTGTTAATTTTTATTCTCGATTTATAGGGGAGAGTCTCCAGTTGTGAGACGGGTTTTATTTTTGACCCGTAAATTGTAAACAGGTTAACGAAATTGTAAATAAAATACACCGTTCGAAAGGTAACAGAAATACGCAACTTTTATTAAAAGAAAGTATAGTGTTTCGATGAACTCAAAATATTTTACGATACATTTTCCGAGCACATCGCTTTTTCAAAAAAAAAAATTGTCTCCAGTTGTGAGACACTTATTAAAAATTGCTAAAATTTAATAAGTTTGACATAAAACGTTATGTTTAGTATAAATAATTAAATATATTAATAATATATATTATTATATACTAAATGATAATATTTATTCGCCAAAATATGACTATCAAATAAACACAATTTAATAGCTTCAACAAGAGCATTAAAATTGATTTCTTCTGAATCAATTGACTTCTTTCCACTTGACATGCCCAAAAATACTAGAAAAAAAATCAAAACAACGTTTAAATAGTATGCCTGCAAAGTCGTATTTTTTATGCTGCCCAGATGGGTGTTGACACCGTCTCACAACTGGTGATATGCTGTGTCTCACACCCAGAAATCGGCGCTATTTTGAAAAAGGAAAATTAAATTATTTTCAGCCGTAGATTGGAACAATGCAATATTGCATCACAAAATATAAGGAAAACACTAAAA